TTCCTCCTCCTCTTCTTCTTCTTCCTCTTCCTCTTTTTCTTCTTCCTCTTCTTCTTTTTCTTCTTCTTTACTGTCGTAGACACCGCTTACGCGACTATAACTGAGTTAACAACATCGTGCTATTATTACTTCTTTCCGCTATTTGGTGCCAATAGGAAATCCCAATTGTAGCCAGTATTTTCTCTACCTCATCCTTCCAACGGGTGAAAAAGTCTTCCTCTTCCTCTGTTTCATCTCTTCATAGTCGTCTTTTACATCATCATGGATTAGGGTTTCGGGTTCGCCGTTTCCTAATGTTGCGCGTTCACAGCCATTCAGTAGGCTGGATAAGTATTCTCTCCTTAAATTCTGGGCATCAGTCTCTTGATAACCTCTTTGTGTCCCACAAGCGCTTACTCCGGTTTTCAAACCTATTGTATGTAAGTTGCCGTACTTTTACTCACGCGAATTGGTCACTCACATCCAGATCGATCTTGAAATTCTGTCAACCGAATTTGGAAACACAGTTTCGATGATGGAGAGCAGCGTCGGCGGCATATTCTATAAGTAAATCCTAATCTTTCTGCGTGTCGTCCCAACAGACAATGTTGATATGCAGTTCTACTACCTTTGAGTTGTACTCCTTTCTAAGAAAATACATTTCGCCTGATCTCTTTCGATCTCTTATCGGCCAAGTTTTACTAGATTTACTTGAGGTTGCGTTGTGGGTTCATCCTTGTATGTGCAGTCAGCTCGTAACTGCTTGTATAGGTAGTAATTTTGTTGGCAAACGAATGCCTTCTTGTTTCTTTATTGAGAAGAATATGCTTGATTGGGTCTTGTCTAGAAAGTTCGTCTGTTTTACAGTTTCCACCTATGGCACTTTGATGAGGAAGTGTGCTAAGAGAGAGGTCAGTTCTCTTTGGTTATCCTCTGTAGACATCGGCGGCAGTGCAGCAGAATTTCTTAATTTGCTGTCAGCGAAACAAGCTTTTAAACAAATCTTCGACTGTAGCTTCCTTGGCTTCGCTGTAATCTGAATCGAAAACTTCGTTTCCTGGACAATCTTTTGGATGAACTCGATGACATATGCTGGATTTTCCTGCTTTTAGGAGATGTTAAGGAAACGGTATGAACTACAACAACGCGGCCTTTCGAGTTACTTAATAAATAAATAATTGTAGTCAACAAATAATAATTTAAATAATTCAACTTTTACATTTATAGATATTATGCAAGTTAAATTTCATTATGGTATGCCATAAAGTTTGTGTCTGTATATCTGCTGGGGCGTGTGTGTTATTGTTGTAACTTTGTTAAATTAAATATTTGCTTAGCGATTGATTGTAGGTCAAGTGTGTTGGATGTGTTAGTCACCTATATATATGTACTATATATGTATATATGAAGATATACAATACATATGTACATATAAATATTTGTAAATAAATTCAGAAATTCATTGATTTTATGCATCAAATGTTTACGATATGCGTCAATAAGCGGAAATTTGTTTTTGTATTTACCACAAGTACCATCAACACCTTTGCTAAAGTAAACTTATTGTGTGTGTATACCTACATATATAGTAAATGCAAGCTGTCTATACCCAGCAGGGAAAAGCACTAGTTGTTAACTGTAATCTAACTAGTTTTACGCTAACTATCATAATTCATATTCCATATATTCTCCATTTAAGCAACTGGTATTTTTGACACGACGATGACCCACGAACTGTCAATTGTCCGACTCCGCATCAGCTTTATACTAAAGGACTGGTCCGGTATCGTGGTCGCTTTTGAAACTGTAATCTTTTGACATTTGACAAGTGAAAATTACGCCAGTAATAAAAATGGAACGGAATACCCTTCAAGAACGCATTGAAATTCTAAAAATTCACTAAAAAAAAAGTGCTGATAACCTGGCAGAGACGGTAAACTGAAACACTTTTCCGCAATCTGTCGGATCGCAATACAGAAATTGGTGTAAAAAATGGAGCTGTTGGAGCCAGTTAGTGATGCGAAGAATAAAACAGGTGCAACTCCCTGACACAACTCAGGTCTGGATATTGTAGCAAGTTAAACTCCTACCCATCCAGACTATACCCCAGCATGCCCAACGTATGCCCTGCATGTGGAGAGTCTCCGCACGACACTAACCACCTCTTCACATGCCCGCTCAAACGCACTCATCTAACCCCCCCTCTCCCTTTAGTCCAACCCCGTCGAAACAGCTCGTTTCCTGGACCTACCACTAGACGACCTCGGCGACTTAGACTGATCAAACCTGGGCCTAAGCGGGGTTAGCGAACCACTACAACAACAACAACAGGTGCAACTCTGAGAACTGTCGTTCTTTGAAATTGGTCATTAAACAAACGACATTACACCATATACTGCATAAAGACTTGGGTCTTAAAGTTTATAAAGTTCAATTAAAACAAGAACTGAAGCCGGCCGATCATCAACAACGTCGTGTTTTTGCCTGTTGGGTCCTAGAAATCAGGATGATATTTACTTTTGACAAGAAAGCGCAATGGGAAAAGTGATCGCAATTGGCCACCGAAATCTTTGGATTTAAAACTTGCGGCTTCTACTTTTGGGGCCACGTGAAATGTAAGATTTCCGCCAACAGTCCAACGGCGATTCAAGACCTTTGGTCTTGAAACTATTTAGGGCAGCCACTTAGCGATTTGGTAATTGAAAATTTCTCAAAAAGGATACGGTCCTGTAAACGTAGCCGTGGCAGCCATTCGGCTGATATTGTTTTCCATTATTAATGGCATGTTTTCCTTCCTCTTTACATTGAAATCAACACCCAATGGTTTATCTCACAAAATTCGATAAATAACACCTCTTATTCACTTCACCTCCAATTAACTGGTATTTAACTAGAATTTTGCATACTAGTAGTTTGGCTCTACCTCACAGGGTGCCTACATATATTCATCTATGAGTTGTCAGGTTTTCTTTACTTTTATGAGTAAATGTAGGTACATGTGTACTTATGTATGTATATATATGCATGAATAATGCCACAAATGTCTGTATTTCTAATAAAGGTATTTCCTATAATAGATAAATCAAATGAATTTTTGTTTTAAATCACGCACTTTTTCGTGATTTGCATTCATTTTGCATTTTACTGTGGGTTTTGCTTGCCTTTTTAAGCTTCCATTGCGTCCGCTCTGCATTTATTATTAACACGAGTATAGTATTTTATTTATTTATTGTCCAATTCAACCTCGTATTGTCGCAAGGTTGTCATTATTAGTTTTGGGTATTTGCTTTGACAGTTTGACCTCATGTCCAGACGCTCCATTGGAGTTTTGAGTGGCTTTCCTGCCACTTCAACCACTGCTCAGACTTTAATTTCTACGATAATTTCAATAAATATGCCCAGTTAGGTGAGTTTAAAGAGTGTAAGAAGCTGGTTGTCAAGCGCAAAGCGGCTGGAGCTGAGAAGATGCACCATCAGCTTCTTTTCAGAAGATGTTCAGACGAAAGCTTGCTTGCCGATTGGAACTGAAGGGTGCTCTGCGCTATCTATTAAAAGGGTGACAACACGATGGGATAAAGCTCCACACTATCACATATAAGGTTCAATCGAGCGTATTGTTTAAATGACTAAAGCGCAACGTCAACAAACTGATTGGATCATATCAGTGTGGCTTTGAATCTCGAAAACCTCTAGTGGAACAGACTCATGAAAAGAGTATCGACTCCACCTCTTTGTCATTTTTAAAGCTCTCTTCGACAGCCAAATAAGGATCTGCGTCTACGTCGCTATGTATGAATTTGGCAACCCTGGCAAGTCTGTGTAAACTGACACTGGGAAACACCAGAAGTGCAGTTAGAATTGGAAAGAACCTCTCCCAGTCGTTCGATACCAAACAAGGTTTCGGTCAGGGTTACTCTTTTGCGTGTACTTCCTTTAATTTGTTGGTAGAGAAAAGAATACGAGTACAACTCTACAAGAGCGCATAACTGCTGGTGTATGCCGAAGACGCTGATATCATAGTTCTTAATAATCGCGCCGTGAGTTCTGCTTTCGCCAAAATTGATAAAAGCTGCCCGGGTATGTTGTGCAGAAGCATAGACGATGTCAAAATCTGATTAGTTGGCGTTACCGTAGACGTTGAAACGAAGAGCTGTACGAGTTATACGATGACGATGACATAGATCAGTGAATCAAGAGGCAGCAGCTATGTTGGCTGGGTCATGTCGTCTCAACGGATGAAAGCACTCCAGCTTTGAAAGTATACGTTGCAGTACCCGCAAGTATAACTGTACTCAGTTCAGAATCAGGTCGATAGTGATCTGACTTCACTTAGTACTTACCACTGACGATTTAATTTGTACTCGAAAAAATTGGTATTTGGGTATCGATTTGCTTGATATTTGTCACATCGATCTCGCTCTGTGTCGAAGTGAAAATGTAAAAAAATCCTTTTTTTCGGAAAGTTGACCAGAGACCGATCCATTCGATTGTATCCAAGGTTCGTTTTGATTGAAGCTTGACACAGAGACGGCTCTTTTTGTCTAGGTAAAAACAGGAGGAGGAGCTTGTCCGAAAACCGCTTTAGCGCCAATTATATATAAAAAGAACTTATGTTTTAATGATAACCAATTAAAAATCTTCTTAAAAACGTTTTCAAATTCCACGTGGACGAAGTCATGTACCACCCCAGCTGGTATAAGCTAAATCCACTGTGAATGCAGTTCATCATAATATGAGGAATTGAACGCCTTGGGGATGAGATTCTTGTAGCAAAATTATTTCCATCTCGTTGTACTTCTCTGGGAGTCTACTGGGGCTTACTTCTCGACAAACATTATTTATATACCGAAAATAGTTAAATTAAATCGAAAAAACAACTATACAAAATTTATTTATATTAAAAATTAAAACAAAAAAATTCAAAATAAAATTAAAAAAATTAAATTAAAAAAAAATGAAAAAAAAAATAAAATTCAAAAGAAAATAATTTAATCTCTCATACTTTTTCTCCTTACTTACAGATCATTGGCATTTTGGGTATTGTTTTTGGTGCATTGATGCTCAACAGCATCGGCACCATCGAGGTGAATGGTCAAGTCGGCTTTCCCGTCCAGGCGATTATGCCAATTATACTCATAACAATTGGTTCGATTGTCGTATTCATTTCATTTTTGGGCTGTTGCGGTGCCATACGCGAGTCGGTATGCATGACCATGAGCTATGCGGTCTTCCTGTTGGTACTGCTCATACTACAGCTTACCATTGTTGTATTGCTCTGGACAAATAAGGAGAAATTCAATACGGCCATGGGTGAGGTGATCGATAAGGCTTGGGAACAGCAATCACGTGAATCAGGTGTCTTTGAAGCTATACAGCGTTCGGTAAGTGTTTATTTTTGTAATGTGCAGGGTTATCAAATTTGTGGTTTCGAAAATAAATGTAAATAAAATGCTTTTCAAATAATATTTTTTTTTCCATAAAATTCATTTTCTATTATAAAGTTTTGATGATAATTGGCCTAATATCTGAGGAAAACTTACAGATTTTCACAGACAGGGTGTTATCTCAGCCATAACTTGATGAAAGTTGGTTTTCAAGTGCTCAAGAGATAAAGCTTTATCCGCTTAAACACGTTCCTTTTGTACCTTCAAAAAAAATCTCCTTTTCAAATCGCACGATCTCGATGCCCAATTGACATTGCCAAGACGAGAGTTTACTCAGTCGGAAAATATCTCCTCCAATAAAGCCATATTTACTGGTGTGGTGTGGCATGGGGCACCAACTTGTTGCAACCACATATTGTTCAAGACGTGTTCTTCAATTGCAGGCAAAAAAAGAGTTGGTTCTTAGGCGAACATAATGCTCCGAATTGACAGCGGTAGGCTCGCTATTGTCGTTTTCAAATTATTAAGGTCCAATCCTACCCCCGAATAGCCTCTCTTCAATTATTTGAGAAACCCCCGAGTGAAAAATGTACCTCCGTTTTAAAGGGATGTTGCGGGAGTTACAGTCCTTGGGCGGAAAAAAATCCTGCTTGTTCCGATACAAATACCCGAATGTCGCGGGAGCTTTTGGATTTTAGTCGGCTTTAATCACATGCACTGACGGCGGATTCTTGAACCCCTTCCAGGGGTTGTACCGCGTTGATGAAGATGATTTTGTTGTAAAAAAACTACAGCCTTGTGCTTTTGAAACCACAAAATGGTTAACTCCATACAAATATTTAATATTATTTATTATATATATTTTTAAAACATTTTTATATGTATATATTTACTTATTATTATTATTATTTTTTTTCGTTTAGTTGAAATGTTGCGGCAAGAATGGCGTCTCCGATTATGTACTCTTGCTACAGACCCCACCACCAAGCTGTTGTGAGCGTGACGATTGTTTGAACCCATTGAATATCTATGGCGGTTGCCGCAGCAAATTCCAAGAATTCATGTCCTTCAGCACTGACACAGCCAAATATGTTGGTTTGGGTTTGATTGGTGTAGAGGTGAGATTTTGTTGATTAGCGATTTTTCCTTTATTTTTAATTCGAACAAAAATTTATATTAATTTTCTGAATTTTTTTTACAGTTGGTTGGCTTCATCTTCGCCTGCTGCCTGGCCAATAACATACGCAACTACAAGCGACGAAACAACTACTAAAGGGCAGCGCAAAGGGATTCAAAAATGGTTTACTCTTGTACCAGTTCCAAGAAAAAAAAAATTTTTCCTTTTTCTATTTCTTAATGTCGTCGTGAAACGCACATTTCATTTGAAATATTCGAAATAATTAAACAGTTACTGAATTAAACAATTGATTTCGAAAAATGCATTTTTTTAAATATGAATTAAATATCCATATATACAATGGCATACATATGTACACATTTAAGTATAAAGTCTGCCGAAAGGTATACAAAAAATGTTATGAAAAGTTAAATATGAAATATACATATGTATGTATTTTTACTTTTGAACTATTAAATTAAAATAAGCAAAGTGAAATGTTTTTAAGTATTTAAAATCCAGAAAATGAATATTAACATTTAAGTTTTGAATAAATTATATGTATGTTTTCGAGCCGAATATGCCTAAAGTAATTACAGTGAAGATAGAAGACAGAAACAGCTAAAATAAATATGTACATACCATGTATTGTTAAAATAAAAGCGAAATTGACTAAAATCTGTGCATAAATGTAATAAATGAATAAACAAGAAGAAACAAAAACACGAAACGAAATGAATAAGAGAATATGCAACAATTTAATCTCAAAAGAATTTAAGACAAGTTCTATTGTTCTAAGTGAAGTATATAGTATGTCTTTGTAATAAAATTAAATATATATATATAAATATAAACCATAATGTTATTGACTTAAATTAAAATCACCTTTGCCGCCATGATATGCATTCAAAGTTTTTAAAAATATATATGTATACGTACGTATTCTATATTGGATATAAATATATTATATATGTATGTAAATGTTAGTCTAACATGTTGTCTACAAGTTATGTTGAATTAATGTATATTTTTTTTATTTTATTGCCTTTTCATTACATGTTAAACTAAAGTCAAAAAGAGAAACACAAGTACACAAAATACATATTTAACATATATGTATATGGAAAAAATATGTATTAATGAAATACTATGCAATGGCAATTATTTGAATATGTGACAAACGTTATGCTGTTTGTCTATCCTATTACATCCAATCATCTTTTGTACCATTTTTTGGAATTACATTCACATAAAGTAATTTATAAAAAATTTTTCCACTTGAAATTCCATATAAAAACAATAAAAAAACTCGAATATATATAAATAAAGAGTGTAACAAAAAAAATAAAAAAAATTAAAAAATACATATTAAAACGTGTAATTTTTTCGGCACAATTTTCCTGTACGGGATCTTAAATTAAATACCGCTCGAACAGCCGCAAGACCTAACACAATCGGCATACAATTAAGTAACATAGTACATAGGTATGTATGTATATACACAACCAACTGTAAATGAGTAGTAGACCTTCTTCGAACTCGTATCATTTATCGATATTTTGATTGACTTCTGCATGCAAAGAAACATATTTACATATGTATATGTAGTACATACAAGACTCTTTTCTCATGCACAAGCGCACATATAAAACTAATTCATATCAAAATATACATACCCATATACACAGAACAACGAATTATCCTTGCATTTATATATGTAGATATGTATGTTTGTATGCACTTGCAATGAAAAGTAATGAAAAGTGAAAGCCCTAAAAACTAGTTAATCGTAGTTGTATATATATATAAATATATATGAATGTATACATACATATATATACTATGCCATTTTTGCTTTTATCGCGCCATTCAACCCTTGTGAGGTAGCAACAATTGTATATATGTATGTATATATGCATAGCGGTAGCAATAGCCGCGTAGTTAACATTGTATGCTGTCAATCTGAAGTCCAGGGCGCTCGAGTGAGCTGGTTCGGCCAATATCCAAAATTATATAAATGTCATTTTTCTAATTGCAGTTACTCCTGAACAGGGAATGTCACGCGCTTCGAGCGTATTTTTGATATGTAATACAATAGCTGCACATTAAAATCCCTTTGCCATTCGGAGGTGGCCTAGTATAAACTGTAAGTACGTCCTTTTGTTGGCGAAAACATCAAGACACGCAACACATACTGGTGGAGGAGCTCGGCCGAAAAGCGTTTCAGCGGTTACAAAGCGCCAATTATAAATAGATATATTTATATGTAGTGTGCATGCATACCTACATGCATATATAGTTATATATTATATAGTTCAACTTTCATAGTGGTGGCAAGAAAGGCTCATTGCCTTGGTGATATGGAAATCAAATCAAAGCATGCAGTTGGCCAAACATTTGCATTGATTGCCCTAATTTTATACTTTAAAGCATATTTTATAGAGCACTATTAAGCTTATACATACATACATATACACGTGTCGCGGTACAGTTAGTCAGGTTCATGCTGTGCTAAATATTTTCGATTGCGCCAGATGTGGCTGGATAAAAAAATTCTCAAATCACTCACTAGAATATGTAGGTTGAGACTGAATATGTAGGTTGAGACTGAATGTATCCATATGTAGTTGATGCACTACGGTGGCAAGAATTCCCACAATAGGACATTTACTGTAATCGAGGATTTGTAAAGAGTGAAAGGTGCTCTGAACTACAGTTTTCACAAAAACTGATTATAGAGTGACGAAGCATATAATACTGGGTGAAGTTCAGTATCGTCTTGCTCCCGTGGAATGTTTTTGCCGCATAGTTTAAGGGACCGATTTTCGACCGAGCTCTTCCACCAGTTTGGGGTTTTGCGTCTTGATGTTTTTCCAACAAAATTTGGGACCTACGGCTTATACTAAGCCCCCTCCGAACGACTGATGGTTTTTTTATAAGGCGCTTTTTATTTCATGTCATTAATGCACTCGGTGGCTTGGCATTTCCTGTCGAGGGGCGACCGCAATTAGAAAATTTAACTTAACTTTTTATTTTAAATTCATTTTCTATAACTTTAGGATGTTGGTCGCGCAGGGTTTTGAACCCAAGCGCACTACACTGAACACCGCTTTTCATGCCCCTTCAAACCATCTCATCTAACCCCCCTCTCGCTATAGTTCTGGAACCCATTGAAGCAGCTCGTGTCCCAGGCCTAACGTTGGATGACCTCGATGAGTTAGACTGATCTTGCTTGCCCCTAAGTGGAGTTACACTTGCCGATTCAACAACAACAATAAAAACTGTGCGTAGTATGAATGCGCGCATGAATTCCTGATAACATTAGCTACTCTTCTTTTTCACTGGAGTACTCGCTATCATGGCAGGTCACATAAGCTTTGGAACATACTAATGTATGTATGTATGTCTGTAGTTTCGCAAACATCGAGTTACATATATGGAGATTGCTTGTGACGCTTGTAGAGCTGAAGTTTAGTTGAAAGGGCATCTTGTTGTCTTCCCATTTGAACTCATCAGCGCCACAGGCTACGCACCATGAGCTGCCAAGCTTAAAATGCATGAGCTATTACAGGAACGAACGAAATGGCGAATACACGGCCGCACAACCACCGTGGCCTGTGCAGTGGTCAAATTCGAAATAAGTCAGGATCCGTCGGTTCGATCCCTGCCATAAGAAGTCTGATGAGGAGATGTGGCGATCTCCGAAATGTGACAGCTGTGTACCATTTTTCTTTGTTGTATAACAAAAATATTCAATTCATACCAACAAATCGGGCCTTTGGCTCATTTAGAGCCTTTTTTTGAGTGCCTGTTAATATGATGATCACAAAACCGACAGTTAAATTTAACGACCTTCATTTTCTCGACCTCCTTTTAAATGTTTGTTTAATATAAGATGAATGGTGGCAGTGCTGCGAAGAGAAAGAAACGAGCAACGCAAATCAGCTGTTCTAAATGTAAATAGTGTAAAAATAGATAAAATTTCTCCTAGAAATGTGGATGCTTCTTCAAATCTTTCCTCAAGTCCATGAGTATAGAATTCCCGCATATTTTCCATTGTATATATATATATATATATATATATATATGATTACAGTCGAAAATGTTAGCATGTGACATCAATGAACAATGCGGTGGCTGCCGCCTGCATTATTTTACGTATTAATGAAGTTGACTACACGGCCACCGTTCTGTCCAACGTTAATTTGACAGCTCACAGCCGATAGCGCGTGGCGTTAATTTTGTTTCGAGCTTTATATCAAATAAAGCTTTCACACTAACGAAGTATGAGCAAATTTATTGAAAGCTTTTGAGCTTTCTTCGTCGAAAGCTCATTTACAAAAAAGTAGTAATAGAAGCAACTTTGGGATGTGTTGAGAACGCAACAATTTCTTTCAACTCTCAGTGATAATTTGAATCTTAATGAGATTAAAGTTAAATTAAAATTCAGTAATGAGAACTAATAAATGATATTCGGGCTTGATAAAGAAGAGAAGCGAATTGATCTGGTAGTGAACGATGACAGGACGAAATATCTGCTGCCATCAAACAAACAGTCATCACAATCGCGACTCGGTGCCCATGTCACTTTTGACAGTCATAACTTCGAGGTTGCAAATAACTTCCTCTATTTAGAAACCAATATTAACATCAAAAATAATGTCAGCCTTGAAATCCAACGCAGACTCACTCTAGCCAACTTTGAAAGTATTCGATGCAGAGGAAGAGGAAGACCTCCACTTCGTTAGAAGGATCCGGTGGGGACCGGCGTCCTGGTTTCACTTGATATTTCCAACTGGCACCTGCAGTAGCGGTACGAATGCCAATAAATAAAAACATCATTTGGCTTTATCCATCTCCATACCAACACACTTGATCCACTGCAAATGCGTGGCCACTTCTACACTACTGGCGTCAGCTGCCTTTCCGAATTTGCAGAAAAATTTATACTGCACCTCCGCCGTTTGGAGTTACGTTAGAGCTAGTGACCTTCTTTTCAAAGCGAAACCTTTTTTATAGCTAACTTTATACTGGTTCCGTAATGCCATTCGGAAAGCCAGGGTTCAAGTCCTGTTTCGGCCAACATCCAAAATTAATTTTTCTAATTGCAGTCGCCCCACCGCAGGGAATGTCAAAAACTCCTCATAAAATATAATCATATTGTGTTTATATTATATATAAATGTATATACATATATGTAATATACAGAGCAGACCCTGCAAGTTGTAGATCTCTTCGATCAGTGGTTCTTGCTACGGGTTGACTCTTCAATCCTTTAAAACAATGAGGCTAACTTTTCGCGTAAACATAACTACATATCATATCATATGTAGGAGTTACACTACAACCACCCATCTTACATACCTTCCGTCCATAGCAACATATCTTATGTGAGCGCCATGTCAATGAAAAGTTGTCACCGCTTGTCGATGCCGCTCTGACGGTTGTCCAGCAGAAAATACCCGTGTTTATATATTCTATTACAGTCGGATGTCATGGCTGTGTGTTATGCAGCATAACTTATGTTATATGTTAGTAATTGAGCGTCGTCTGTGTGTAACGTCAATGACTAACCGCACCATTACTCTCAACGACATTTTCGTTGAGATGCACAAGTGTTAGTGCGAAACCAAAAATATATAACTTTCGTACACTCAACAGTGCCGACAGTATGCTCTGATGTTCACGAGATAGTAGAAGTCAAAAAGTTTGCCGGCCAAATAAATAGTTTCGGTGTGAACGAGTGGTGTAAAGTGATATTTTGTGAATTATAAAAGAATTATTAAAATATTATGTTTATGTTTAAATGTAGTATAGTTTAAAATAAAAGCATATATGTATGTACATCTGTGCTCATTCTAATTACTGTGCTATATTGGAGAAAATAAAATAATATATACATATATACTTACTTATACCGAATGCCAATATATAGTGTCAGAACCAGTTTTGTTTACAGCTGGCCAAACTATACATTATGTAAACTTAACGAAAAATGTGCAGAGAGAAGTGGCAAGGAACTACAATTTGCAAAATCTGAGAGTGACAATGCACAGAGTTCGGAATAGGAGTGAGAGGGGGCGTGTGGATGAAAAACATAAAAGAATTCTGTTTACACTTTTAAGGTGTAATTTCAATAATGATTTGTGAGAAGTGTCAATATTTATTATATATGTACATAAGTTAACTGACGATCAACTAACTATGTACATATGTACATATGAATTTAAGTGCATAAATGACAGCATACTTTCAAGGAGAAGATTTTGTATTTGCTAGAATAATAATTAATTGTAATAAAACAACATTTTATTTGAGAAGATTGTGAATATTCTCAATTTGTGCTTTTGCCTTTGTGCGCGTGTGTTTATGCCATTAAATTACTTTTTTATGCATTAGATCATTTCGGCAGTTTTTGGCGGACATACCGATTTGTTGGCGCGCTCGTTTAACCTGTTGTTTTGGTGAAGTCAAATTATTATGACCATTAAAACAACAACAACACCAAAGCAGTTTTCTCAAACCACTTGCTAAAATTTATTCCCTTTGTATATTCTTTTCTTTCCAAGCTGACTGCAGAAGCGAAAAAAATATTAATTCTAATTGAAGGCGAAAAAAAATAATTTTAAATTTTTTTTCTGTTTTCTTTTAATAAAATACTTATGTATATAAGGAGTTATCCATTTTGCGGTCTCGTAAATTAACAAATAAAATGCATTTAAGATAAGTTTTGTTTGGGGCCCATTTTCGACTGCTTTTTGGCACATATTAGTCGGCGACTCAGCCATAACTTGACGAATGTGGCGTTTCAAGTGCTCACCAGTTAAAGGTTTATTCGCTTAAACACGGTCTTTCTCATAGCTCCTTGTCAAATTGCACGATCTCGGTGGGCAATTGACATTGCCAAGACGAGAGTCCACACGTTGGTGAAATTTCTCTCGCAATTAAGCCATATTCGCTTGGGTTGTGCGGCATGTGGCACAATCTTGTTGAAACCACATATTGTCCCAGTCGTGTTCTTTAATTGCAGGCCAAAAAGAGTTGGTTATATTATAATTATATTTAAAATTTATTCTCAAAGAAGTAAGGTCCAATCACACATCCGTAAAAAAAAAGCGTTTTAAACAGTGAGTTTTTGTTTTTTGGTTTATTATTATTTCAAGATACTCGGACTACCAAATGCGTCTATTCTGCTTCTCTACGTATCCCCCGAGTGTGAGATGTGTCTCTTTGTGGTGAAGAAATCGGGGTTTACGGTTTGTTGCTCAAGCGACCAACGGCGTGAATGATCAGCTGGCTTCAGTTGTTATGTGAACTGGACTTCATGTGGATGTAGGTTTAAGTCCATGTATAAAAAACTGTGATTTTAAGGCATTGTGTGGTTGTTAGGTGATCCATTTTCATAAACGACAGACTTTTAACTGAAACAAAACATGTTCGGTTTGAAAATTAATTTTGGCAGATGACAAAAAACAGCTCTGTACTTTTGAAACCACGACATGGATAACCCTACACATATATTTGACATACACATATGTATGTACATATATGTTATATATAAAATATATATATACTTTTGTAAAACACATTTGTCTATACTTCACAACTAAAATTAATTTACCAAGAATTAAACAAATTCAAAAATAAAATATCTAACTAAATTTTTTTGTGTGAAAGTGTAAACGTCATATATTTTACGCTTATTTATTTATTTCTTTTAATATTCTTAGGTAAAATTTATTAAGTAAAAACACGATTTTTTTTAATACGAAAATATAAACCGAATAAGAAAATATTCAGTGTTTAAAAATTAAATAAACAAAGAGACAAAAACAACAATGACTTCAACGTCTACGATTAAGAAAGTGTCGTTCTTTATAGGCGTCATATGTTCGGTGAGTTCAATGAAATTTTTATTAATTATAAAACGAATAATTATATTATATTACCTTTTGAATAAAAATAAACGAATAAGAATTGCAAATAACACCTTAAAATTTATATATGTATGTATGTATGTATTAATTTAAATACACGAATTCAATGCTCTGTGACATTCAAAAATGTTTAGCATACAAGCCTACAAACATACTCGACTTCATTACATCAAATCAAAATGTAATTTTTTTCAATATTTTGAGACATTTTTTTTTGTACATACATATGTATGTATGCATTGTTCATTTGCCCGTTTTTGTACAATAGAATGAACAAGAAAAAAATTTATATTTTCCCGCAAATTTGGCGCATCAATTGAGATTCGAAATACAACACACCACAGGCATCCTTTAAAGTCACTGAACAGCAATAACAAACAAATCTCAAGGTTGTTTAACCCACATATGCATGTATGTACGTATAAGCTCACCAAAGCATTCTCCAAAAATGTGTGTACTCGATATATATTGTATATACACACAGGGTTATGAATTTTTGATTAAAAATGTGATTGATATTGAAACCTGATTTTTTTTAAATAAAAATAATTTTTATTGCGTGCAATAAATTTAGAAAGCGATTTTTTATGATAATCTACAGCTTTTAATTAAAAAAAATATTAAAAAAGTATGCATAAATATGTGTACAAATATAATTTCCAATTGCACTCCAAAATTGTTATGTCGATTTCTCTTAGGGCAAGTAAAAAGTAATCCATTATTTTTGCAATAAATTGAAGGATTTTTAACCAAATTACAATTATCCGATTTCCTCGATAATTTTTTTGCAGGTAATCACTTTTTTTGTAGGCAATCTCGCCCTCATAGAAACCCTTGTCCCTATTGGCAAAAAAAAATGGGATAATAGATTATCACAGGTTTCTCTTGAGGCCAATTCTTTGCCAGCCAATTCGTCATAGTCAAGAACAGAAGATAAATACTTGGTATGAGGCCCGAACTACAAGCAGAATGTGTAAAAACCTCTCAATCAAGCCCTTGGATCTACTGGTGATTCACTAGCGAAGTGTAGAGTCTGGCCTTGTCCTGATAAAGAAGAACTCCCCTTCTGTTGACCAATGCTGGACACCTATGGGCGATTGCTTTCCCTGGACGACCCCATTGCTGACAGTACAGGTCTGAATCCAAAGTTTGGTCGCATGGGAGCAACTCATGATTCCTTGACAATCCCACCAAACACACAACAAAACTCTTATGACCGTCACATCCGCCTTGGAGACCGTTTGTGCCGGCTCACTGCTCTTCGATCGCGACCGTTTTAATTAGACATTGTTGTAAGTGATCCACTTTTCAACACCAGTCACAATACGCTTCAGAAAATGGTCGGTTTTGTTATGATTAAGCAGCATTGCTCAGAGGGGAAATTCGGTCCTGGAGGTTTTTTAGGTCTTCCATACCACTTCTGAGCATCTTTTACATCAAAATGACGGGAAGAAAAGCGCGATTATACATGAGAATGACTGTTACAGTATCAAGACCTTAAGCACTATAGGCACAGTTTCAGTTGCCTGATTTGTGTTTTCATCTTCATGGAGGAGAAATTTGCTGGTGTCCACCTTTGACCTGCGCCCAAACACCAAAGATACCATGTGACGAAACTATCACAAATAAATGGGTTCCTCGATTACTTTTTCTGGGCTGGTAATAATACTAAGTGAAGGCACTTTGAACAGCTGATCGATAAGCTGCCACAGAACCGCTTAGTCAATTATAAATCGCAGCGAGAAGAAAAGAAATTTATGTTATCAAACAATTTTTTTTTAACCACAGTAAATTTGTATATTAAACTTAAGAAACATTATTATATAATTATATTTATTGAAGCCAAAAATAGCTGTAAACGTTTAAAAATGTTCATTTGCAGAACTTTTGGTATTTTTAGCAAAGGAAAAAAAAGACACGAAAAATCTATGAAAGTCCCAAAAATGAAACTTTTTCATTGAAGTGGCACTGGTTTGGAAAATGTTATAAAAAATGGCATTTTTTAAGATAATTTATGGTATATTTATTTCAATATAAAGAGGAAAATATGCCATTAAAAATGAAAGATAACAATATCAGCCAAATGGTCGCCAAATCTTTGCTTACACAAACGTTTTCTTTTTATGAAATTTTTCATCATGAAATCACCAAGTGGCTGCTGTAAGTCCGCCATAGCTGCACGAATCCCATCTCTGAGGTTTTGAATCAATGTTAGGCTGTTAACGTAGGCCTTATCTTTCATGCGGCCCCAGAGAAAGATCACAAGATCCTGGTGGTCAACTGCAATCACCTTTTCCTTAAAATATCGATGGTTTCGCTGCTTTTGTGGCACGTAACGCCGTCTTGTTGAAAGTAAACGTTGTCCAGCGCATAAAAAATCATTAATCATCTCCCGATAGTGCAATCCATCATCCTAATTTTCTAAAAAGTATCTTACAATGACCCCGCCAGGCCATAAACCGCACCAAACAGTAACACATTGAGGATGGCGAGGTTTTTCAACAATAAATCTTGGGTTTTGCGAGGCCCAGATGAGACAGTTTTGCTTATTGACGTAGTCATCGAGGTGAAAATGGGCTTCATCAAGCAAGATAATTTTTCAATGAAATTCCAGATCATTTTCATGCATTTCAAGAACCCAACCGGCTTGAGTTCTCATGTTAATTGAAATTTATGAGCCTTAAGATCCAAGTCATTATGCAAAATATTTTGTAATGACGTTTGTGGAATGCTCAATACCAAAGAATGCCGAAGAATAGACAAACCTGGGTTTTTTCAAAACTTTGGGCTACAACAGCAATATTCTCAGTTGTTCTTGAGCGATGAGCACATCCCTAACATGTGCCGAATTCAACCGGAAGAGTAGACTATTCAATATAACATCTCCTATATTAGAGAATTCTTTATCACTTTTCTGCTGCCTTATAGGATTAACTGTTTACGTCATAGCTGTTTTCTTTAGCTAAATTAAGTGCAGTCAAATGAGCAAATAAAAAATGTTTTCAATGTCCAAAAGGAAAAAAAAACATGACTTCGTAATTCTCAAAAATACACCCCCATTAAAAAAAAAAACGGGAAAATTCGTGGAATTTTTTGTTTAAAGCAAACATATGGCTTCAGTTCATATGATAAACAAGTGCCGGAAACATGAATATTGGCTATGATAAAGTTATCAGGTCATTGGCCTCTTTTTTTTTATTGGGAAAGTGCATTGTCGGCCAAAGATTACAATTCTGGAGTTCGTAATAATCGAGTAATGGAATATTATTCCATCGTTATTTATTAACCACCTCCGAATGTTTCACTTCTCGCGCTATTCATCAGACCAGAGAATTGTTTCCTCTCTTAACTTAACTCATTTGAGGTTTTTAAAAATATAAAATATATACGTGGATTAGGGACTCAAGAATTTACATGTAGTAAAGCATGCCTGTCGTAAGTGGCGACTAAAAACTAATAGTTCCCGCGATAGTTGAGTCTTTATACGGCCAAGGACTCTCACTCTCGCAATATTCCCCGAAAACCAACTTGGGGATCATTTTGGTTTACAACAACAACAACAACAATAAAAGGACTGAACTGTCGCCGAACTCTACAAATCCAGGATAACAGATCACGCAATTCTAAAGACCACTGTCTGTTAGGACGATATGCGGAAAGACCAGGTGCTCTCTATAGAAGATGATGCAGAAACTGCAAGGAGAATGTGGAAAAGAAAACGATCACCTATCTCTTATGCGACTGTCGTGCTTTAAGCAAGGCTGGGCTTTCGCAAGGAGGATGGGATTATGTGTAGAAGCTCACGAAAGTGAGAAAAGATTTAAGCTACCATTCATATGATTCAAGCAGTTCACGACTTCCGGTCTTAGATCAAGGGTAGCCAACAAGCGTTCGCTTAGAGGCGAGTTAAAAGCTTTGGAGCCCGCCACATTAAACATAAAGTCGAATAAAAAATGGAATAAAACCTCTGGCGAGAGATCCCCTCAAACGTTTTAACGATCATGATGTAAGGGCAGCTGGGCAGCGGCAACTTCTCAATGAAGGGACCGGTAGCTTTAATAAGAGCAACCCCCAATCGTAATCGATTACGCGTTTGCCGTGGTCAAAATTTACAAGTTCTTCTCATCCGAAGCTGCATTAAATTTTCATTGGAGTTGGATTCTGCGCGTCGGGGCAAAATCCAGCGAACTCTATATGCCAGAACCAAAGTTCAGCGCAGAAACTAGCGACGCAAACTCTCTTTTAGCCGTAACTTAAGTTTCCATACGCTCAAGGAACTTATGACGAGAACGCCAGAACTGTAACCAGCAGTACCAGAATCAGGATTACGTCCAATTTCAATTTCAAGCGAAATAAAAATTGCCAGTTGCAGCTCGGGCAATTGGAAATTGAATATCAAAAATCGAATTGAAGATAAATCAGTGCAATTTTTAACGCTACAAATCTGTATATATGTAATTGGCCTCAGTCCATTAGTGTTAGTATGTATGTATAAATGTGTATGTTTCAAAATCGGAAATCTTTTTTCTTTATTTTTGTGCATCTTCATCATGATAAATATAAACTTGCGGTATTTTAAAATCCACCTGCTCACATAGAAACAAACATATATACGTTTGGGTATGTATGTATGCATACGTGTATATAAATTTTCAAGCATGAGCAGAAGTTTATTGTTGTTTTTTTTTTTGCTATTTTTATAATAATTTCGTTTTCGTTGAAATACATACAAACAAACATATATACGAGTATACCATGTTCATATGCCGGCGTGTGTAAATATTTATTTACATATAATATATATACATATGTATGTGCTTGCATGTGCACAACGTAAATACCGTTTTCGAGTGCAAACTTGTGGAACATACGTTTTATATCAACAAGTAAGTGATCGTAAATTAATAAGGTTATTGCATTATTTCGATAAATAAAAGTGGAAGAGAGCTTAATGTGTA